AGTATACTACGAAAATTACACAATCTCACGTTTTCGAATCTTTTTTTCTTTGAATAGCCGCATTAGCCATATCAAACTATGTACTTTAAGATGTTTTCAACAGTACGCCGAACCCTAGGAGTACCGCTTCGGTAACACTTTCTCAAAAAATATTCTATTTTTAGTTTTAGATAGTAATAGACTTTTGTTCTATTAAATTAAATTACACATAGATAACTTGTGTGTGGGTGCGGGTGTGGGTGTGGGTGTCAGTATCACACCTAGGAGTGGTAAGTTATCGTTACCGTTCCGGGGTAACGGTGACGGGACTGTTACCAGTTACTTTTTCCTGGTAACTTCTCTAAAAAGATGAATTATTACTTCCCATCAACAGAATTTTGCAACTACGTTATTTTTTAAGTTGACCCGTTCCCAGGTAACTGGTAACTTCAAATTTTTTTTGCTGGTGTATTGTCAATATTCGGTCCAATAGAAGTGATATTTAGTCTTTTCAAAAAGTTACCAGGAAAAAGTAACTGGTAACGGTCCCGTTACCAGTTACTCGGGTAACTGGTAACTCCTTCCATAAGAACCGTTACCGTTACCGTTCCTGGGTAACGGTCTGGGATCGGTAACTTCCCGCCCCTAACCACACCCACACTCACACCCGGCCACCCGAAACCCACCCCACACGCACACCCACACCCTCATATTAGATAAATGAACAGTATGCGAAAGATAAGTAACATATGGCTGCGAATGATCGTTGTTATTTCATTGAATGTAGTTCACTAAACGGCAACAAGATGAAGAATAAAAACAATGGGAAGAACAATCAAATAAAAGAAAATATTCAGTTAAAAGAAACTACATGTAACATATTCATTTTCGTTAAACAATTTTTTAAAGATAATGAATATATGGATAGCCATATATATGATGAAAATATTGATATTTTCAATTTTCAGTGTTTAGTGTCTGAACAGTAAAAATAATGATAGTTTGTTAGTTTTTTTGTTGATCATATCTCAAATGACTAATAATTAATACATGTGGTGAATGTATGTCTAAATAGTTCAATGTCAAGATAAAAAAATTCCCATAAGTTAAAATTTGAATTTTTATCATGAAATAATTGGTTGTTAGTGCATTGATTTTGGTTTTTTTTTAAATGTATATTGCTTTTCTTGTGGTACTAAAGTCCAATTTTGTGAAGAAAATTATTATTACACAAATAGATGATTGATTCATTATTTTCGTGAAAGTGTTTGAATAGTTTTTTCCTATTTTGTATTATAAAGAAAATCAGGCCCTCCAGTCTCATTTATAAGGACGATATGTTTAAAAATTATTGATTCAAGTGTTTTCTATTGAGATACATGTGATTTCTATTTATTGAACTTAAAAAGAAAAAAATTAAAATGAACAGTAAAGCAATAAAAAGCAAACATTGGTTCCGGTTTATCAATGTTTTTTGAAAAACTCAATTCAAGTTTATAAATAATCAGTAGTAATTTTTGCGTTAATGTCTCGAGAAAGAATTTCAGAGAAACGTTCGATCAGCGCACTACTAGTTGTACTATTGACGGCAATATCTTCAAACTTTTTAATCAGTTCATCACCTGTCTCTGCCATATAATTTTTACCACCACCATTAGTCGCCATTTGATCAAGTCTTTTCTCTTCTTTACTTCCTTTTTGAATACCTTCACCGAAACCAATCGTATGACAAATAAAATTATGATCTTTTGTGTATTTTGATTTCAGTTGACTAATTATATGTTCGGGATTACCATTACCACAATCGGCACCATCCGACATAAAAATCATGACAACCGATGCTTTTGTTTGATCTTTCTCGATTTCTCTTGTCGCTTCTGTCAAACCTGCTGCATAATCTGTACCATTACCACGAATGGAAAGCGTGCGAGGAGCATCAATAACTTTTCGTCTCGAACAAATAGTATGCGCTTTGTCATCGAATTGAATAACCGTAATAAAATCATCTCCGCCTTGATCATTATTACGTCGTGTCAAAAAATTGTTGTATGCTTGTTGTAATTTGTTCCAATGTGGTGTCATTGAACCTGACTCATCAAGAACAAAAACAAAATGATATGATTGAGCTTCTTGTTGTTCTTGTTGTTTAGTATAAAATAATACCATTTCTTTAAATGCTCTTTCAGCATCGCTTTCTTTAGTTTTATATTCAGCTTCTTGTTGTTTAGTAATAAATAATACAATTTCTTTAAATGCTCTTTCAGCATCGCTTGCTTTAGTTTTATATTGAGCTTTGAATGCATCCCTCATTTTAGCCGTTGCATTCGGTTTAATAACACAAAAAATAAGATCGATTTCTTCATTTTTTTTCAACAGACGATCGCATATATCAGTCAATGTGTGTTTACCATTTCCCTAAAATAGAATGAAGCATTATTTGTCATTCTCATGATATTTATTGAGAATTCACTCCTAGAAAAATCATTTAATTGAAATATAAGTACATAAAAATATACTTTGATATATTAATATTAAAAATGAATTCATTGAAAAATGTATTAATATTTTTGTTAAGAAATCATTTTTGCTGAATATTAAAACAAAAAAAGGACATATGTGTTAATAGATACGAATTATTTTCTAGTAAAAAAGTTTTTTCTTGAATTCATTTTAATTTCTCTGTTAATAATTAAGAGTTTATCGAATTACTTACTGTCTTATAGTGATCATTTGTAAGATCGTTATTAAGCTCTGGTCCATGACCAGGTGCATCAGTAATAAGTACGATGAATCGAGCATTTGTTTTACTCCAATTTAATGTTAAACATGTATCAAGTGCACCGAGTACATCTTCTGGAATATCATCACCTCCACTAGCAGTTATTTTATTTAAAAATTCCATTACATCGTCGGTTTTTTCGGTAAAATCTATTTTCATAATTGGTGGCTTATCTTTCAAATCACGATAAGCAACAATAGCAAAACGTAGTTGAAGTTTAAGTGATGGATATTTTACTTTAACTTGATCTTGAATACCTTCCATAATAGTTTTCATTTGACCTTTAACTGCTGCTAACCATCGTGACATGCTACCAGTACAATCAAGACAAAAACAAATATCAATTGTTATATTCGATGCTAGTTGACCACTTTGTGATAACATTAATTCTCGTTCATCAGCCAATCCTTTAATCATATCATTAAAAGCTTTATTTGAAAATATATCTTCGAAAAGATTATCTTTAGATATAGTGTCTCTCATATCATCAGTAACTTGCTTGTTATCATTTTCTATTGATGCCCATTCAGACAAAACAATTTGTGCTTCTTGTTCAAATAAAGCTCGTAAAGCTTTTGATAATCCACGAACAGTAGCACATTGTAAATATCGTTTATAAACTAATTGAAGATTAGTTGAATCAATACCAATAGCCATAGCTACAAGATCAATACCATTATTTTCAGCACGTTGTTGTACCATAGCAAGACGATTACCACAATTACTATAACCATCCGTAAATATAAATATTTTCTTTTCACCTCGTGTAGAACATTGACTAAGTAGATCAATAGCAGCTTCAATAGCATCTGCATCTTTTGTATCTTCATCTTGATCAAAACGAAGTTCATTTACAAGTGTATAAATAGTTGCTGCATCCCAAGGTTGTTCATTCGATTTAATCAAACGTACTTCACGACCGAATATAATAATACCGAATTGAGTTAAATCAAGTTTACGTAGAGCAGCTGTAAGAACTATAATTGCTTCTTTAAGACCATTACTAAGTGTACCTAACATTGATGTTGATACATCAAGAACAAGACATACAGCATGATCACGTTTACCACCAGCTAATTTTGAACTAAATATTTTCTTATATGTCCATTCACTAGTCATTGCTCTTATTAAACCAGGTAAATAAAGTGATGAACCACGTAGAGCTGCTCGACGACGTGTAAATTTATTATATGGCAATACAAGATCACCGAGCACAGTCGATACTTCTTCAATAACACCAGAAACACGATATTCTTCTGATATCCAATTTTTTTCTATGTCTTGCATCATTGCTGATAATTTTAATATATGATAATATTCACGAAGTTTAGTTAATGCTTTCGTTGAATAATCAGTATATTCAATTGTTGATGATAAGTAACTTGTTAATTGTGATTGACTCTAAATAGAAATAATAAATGAATAGAAAAATATTAATAATTAGATTTTATATTAAATATAAATATTTCATCATACTTGATTTAAACGAGGAATTGTTGCTGTCGAACTACTAATCATATATGATGTTGGATTAGCCGAATCATATGATAAATTTTGAATAATAGTATCGTATAATAATGATTTCTCAGGTATATTAGGTATTTTAATATTAATTGTTGAAAATGAATTTGCTGTCGTTGTCATTGTCGTCTGGTTATCATCAGTTTTAATTGATGCTTTAACTATATCATACATTAATTGTGTTATTATTTTCGGTGATTGATCTATATCATTTGCATGAGCAATACGATGTTGAGCTTTCTTAAGACCACGTAATAATACTTGACTTGTATTTTGTCCAGCCGTTTCAATAAATAGAACACCTAAATTAATATTATATTTTTCAATTGTTTCTGTATATGTTTTATCATCATTATCATGTGTTAAACCATCAGTAATCATTAAAACAAGACGATGAATAAGAGGATTTGATGGTTTATTTTTATCAAATACACCAAATACACGATTTGATATATTATCAAGACCCGTAGCTGGATATGTACCTTCGTCAAATGTTAGTGCTTCGAGTACGAATTGTCCATCTTGTATAGTAAATCGATCAGCCATATTTTTTAACATTTTTTGATTATTTCGTCCACCAAAACGTGCTACAGCAAATTTACTTTCAAGTTTACGATGTAATTCCATAAGTATAACAAGGATTTCATAAATTGAATTTCGATAAATACTCATTGAACCTGAATTATCAATCATAATACACCAATGAAGTTCATGTTGTTCATTTGTATTAATACTATTCATTAATGTTTCCCATTTGGAACGAAATTCTTTTATAATTAAATTTATCATTCGAGCAATAGGTGGTGTTTCAACAAGTAATTGATATGACCATCGTTCACGATGATTTGTTGAAACAAGTGCAGCACGATTATCAAGTTTACCATCGATTGGACTTCGTTTCGCTTTTGTTTTAATTGATTCATACAATTCAAGTAGATTTTGTTGTTTTTTTAATTGTTCTTGCATTGCTTTCATTTGTAAATCAATATTAAAATCGACTGATCTATCTGTTTCATTCCATGTACTTCGTATTCCATCATTTGCATGATTTGTTGTTGATACATCGATTTTAGTTACACTTTGTGATGATGCTTCTTTAGCTAAGTTTTCTATATTTGATAGAAGATTTTTTCTTGTATCAGAAGCAGTTTTACGTTTATTAGATTTTTGTTTTGATTTCGATAATTCTAACGCATCTTTAACTTGTTCAGAATTTTCATTTCGTGTTGTTGATTGCCAATCTTCAAAAGTTAATGGGATATCATCATTCTTCATAGTTTGTGATTGATTTTCTAAAGTTGATGATGGTTGTGAAATATTTGATTCGAACATTTCAAATATTTTTCGTTTATTTGTTTCACCTTTTCGTACAAGAGTTTTTGATGCTAATGGAAAATCATTAATAATACGGCTAACATCAACATTTAATTGTCGTAAAGTTTCTCGTAATTTAAAATAATTTTCAAGTGATAATGAAAGAAAACATTTTTCTAATCGACTAAGATCTTTGTTTAAAAATCGAACACCATTAATTGAAAAGACAGGTTCAAGAATTTTTTTAACTATAACAAGATCACGTAATAATTGCAAACCACGTACAACGATTTGATGAGCAGTTTCATTTTGATTTAAATTATTCACATTCGATTGATTATGAACGAGAACATTAAATGTTGTAAAAACTCCGTACCATTGTGTAACATGTGAAGAATAATCATGTGCTTTAACAATAATTATATGCATTTTATCTGATTCACTAAAACGAAACGATGAAGACGATGGTGATTGAACATATTTTTTTACAGAATCTTGCATCTTTTTAAAAATATCTTCCGAATACAAAGAAGTTTGAGCAGATTCTGTTGATGTTGTTGTATTTGTTGATGCTGATGTTGAATTCGATGATGAAGGAGAAAGAAATGAGATACCTTGGCTACGTACAGCTGATTGATTTGGTTGAATTTTTGGAAGAGTTTCTTGAATAGTTTTAAGAATTGATGGTATTGTATTTGAATGAGTAGCAGATAAGTCAATGTCCAATATCTCACGTGTTCTTTGACGATAATTAGATAGAGTACAAAGTGCTGATGTTAAACTTGTTGTATAGAGTGCTACATTTAATGAACTATGACGATAGACAATAAGACCATAAAATGATGTAAGAATGGATGAAATCGTTTGAAATAATCGACGTAAATCAACTCCTTTTATATTCAATAATGTTATCCATGAATCAACAATATTATCAAGTATTTTATATTGATCTTCATCGTTCATATTACTTATATTCGTTAGACGCGTCGTAGTCAAATAAGCTTGAATTTGTTTTTGAAGTTCTTTTGGAACCATATTTTGAATACTTTCTAATAAATTTTCACTTGATTCTGTATCCGAATTAAGAGATTGAATTGAAGATTGATATTTATTAAATAAAATTAACTCATCATCCGTCGATAGTAAACAGCCAATTTTCAAAATTAAATCTGTCATAGTTTCCTTTGTTTGAGCAGTTGCTAAATTTTCAATACATGAAATAATTTCGTTATTACAACCAATAGTTAAAATAAACTTGAGCATATTCTTCCAACTTGGCTTCATATAATGTTGATAATACGAATCGTTTATAGATGACCAACTCTTTTCTTCATCAAGAACATAAAGAAGATGAAGAATTAAAGTAACAATATTACCAATAGTTGCTTGCGATTTACTTTCTTCACATAATATATTCCAAATAATTTTAATAGTTTCATTAATGAATAGTTTTTGCTTGTGAGTAAGTGGTATAAAATGATGTAAAAGTTTACAGTAAATTTCAACATTACCTCTAGAGAGCATATAGCTACCGGTTGTATAAATTTGTAGTGACTCTCGAAAATGACGTATTACTGATACTAAATAATCATACTCATTAGGTGAAATATGTGACATTTTTTGAATTGCTTCTCGAACTTCATACCCATCATTTTTCAAAAATGCATCCTGAATTGGTAAAAAATTGACTCCTGGAATGAATTTTTGCAAAATAACTCCTGTAATGTCAACAATATCGTTTAGATGTGCTTGGTTTGTAGCTGAAATGCCTGTTATTAATGCATATAATGTTTTATGTTCGCCAAAAATCGATACAAGATACTCAAACTTATCAGTTTCAGATAATGAACTCCATAGATTATATGCTTTATCCATTAGATTCAGTAATGATCCTTGTAAAGTATTGTTTTCTTTTTGACCATATAATTTTAAATGTATTTCTAATAGAGTTTGATAATCAACATTAATTAATTTAACTAAAATATTTTTTACTCTAGCAGAAAATAATGCAAAGAGTATAGTCCATTTAACACTAAATGAATCATTCATCATTTTTAATAATTCACCGAATGTATTCGTTAATGGAATATGTTTTTTTAATTCTTCATTTATATTATATGTTGTCGAAGGATGAGCTGCATCACGAATAAATTTACTAAACACACGCACTCTTTCTGCCATTGCACTATCATTAGCAATACAATGATAGATAAATTTAATAGCTTGTTGTGATACATTTTCAGGAGAAGACGTTTCATAGATTTCACAAAGTTTTGTTGCATATAGTTGCATTGTATAAGCTTCATCAACATTAGCCGCTGAATTAATAACACTAAAAAGTTGCAGTCGTACACTATCATTGTTTGCAAATGAATTATGAAATAAAATAGAATTTTGAAAATATGAAATATATTTATTTAATGACAATCGAAAATATTTAACTACATTATCAATAGCACGACCAATTGTGTTTGTATCATCAAAATCATTTAATTTCAATTGCTCTTGAGATGTCTTTGCAGGATCTAAATTAAGATTTAAACAAAAATTTTTCCAATCATCTAATGTCAATGGTAAATCATGATCTTTTGTTTTTTGTGAGCCACATATATAAGCAATAGTAGTAAGAATTATTAATGATGTATATGGTTTATACATTTCATATTGTTTACTAAAATAATGAAGCCATTGTGAAGGTACTAATTCAAGTGACGACCATTCTTTAGAATTTTCTTCTGTTGTTGGAACAAGTGTTGGTAATGGTTTCAGATGTCCGATAATGACAATTTTTACTCGACGATTGTCAAGTTTACTATCGATATTAATAACAGGATCGCATAGACTTACTAATTCAAATTCGAATAGTCTAATTGTATCATATTCATGTGGTAAATTGACTTGATCACATTCCATACTGATATCGAGAAAAGTAAATCCATCTTGAGAGATTTTAATAATCTGAATAGGATCTTGTGAGTTCTGTTTCGATCCTGTTTTTTGGATATGAATTGCTTTTACGAATTTCTCTTGATAATTTAATGCACACATTTCAAAACGTAAAGCGTTTTTACCGATATTATTAACTTTTAAAAATTCTTTTTTTGAAATAATACCTGATTTAATTAATCCAATATCGATAACACTGTATGGTACTGTTTGCAAGATAGGTGTATGATATTCAACACTATAAGGAATATTAATAGGATGAATTGAAGTATTTGATTTTAGTTGTATGTTAGCATTGAATGGTCGCAAATCGATTGGATAATAAATAAATTGCACTAGTACATTTTCATTCGGCTTCATAATAACATTGTCAGGCATAATTTTGAAACGTGATGGTAATGACAATGAAGGATTTTGTGCATTGGTGACTTGTAAGAAATGGAAAGTTGCTGTTGCTCTACTTGTATTTTTAAATTTTACTTCTTGACTAACGGGTTGTAAAGTACCGAGAGTTTTATCTTGAATGAGATCCATGTCACCCTTTTGATTAATAGATATTATATGCTTGTTTTGTGGATTGGAAGTTGTATATGTCATTGTAGGTTCAATTGTTTCACACTGTAACACCAAATAATACTGATGTCTACTACTGAGAAATCCAATCTCGAGATTAAATGTTTGTGAAATACAGTTATTAGGCATCTGAATTTCTAAATTAATATTTTCTTTTTTATTGACTGGTAATTGTAATTCACTAATGGATGATTTGATGGATTGTGACTTTAGACGAAGTGTATATTCAACTGGTCCATTATTAATAAATTCAATAGGTAAAGTTCTTCGTTCGCCTTGATAGAAATTATTCATGGTTAAAACATATTGAGATTGATTTTTGTCAATTGTTCGATCTTGATAACGAATTTCTAGTGAATGTTGTTGAATTTTAGCATTAATTTTAATTGCTTTAATATTTTTAGATGAATTTATTGCCACAAAAACATCTGTTTCAATGATTTCTTCGATATTTTTTGATGCTTCTAATGTGATACCAAAAGATATTTTAGATTTAGGTGGTATAGTGAGTTCATTATTGATTATGGTTAGAACTGAATCATATTGATGAGTTTCAGGTAGTCTTAGTTGTGCTTTAGCATGAACTGAACATGGAAGAATATTTTCCAATTGAATATTTTTTTCTATTCGATGGCTATTACACGCTACTACACCAAAATCAATTGTCTCTGATGATATTTTAAGATCGATTTCTACGATTTCTACTTGTACTTGAAGTGTATTCAAAAGTTTAGTTTGATCATTAACAATAAGATCCCAACTTTCTTTCAAATTACAAATATTTGTTGGTGGTCTTAAGATAACTTCTAATTCACAAATATCGCCCGATGCTAGTTGTAGATTATCATTCGTAACATCAAATGGTGTATCTGTTGGTTTAGTACTTCGATCGATTTTTACTTTTAAATCACGATCAACTTTATTATGAATATATATTCGTTGGATCATTCGTTGATGAATATCAGGAAGTGTAACACCAAAATCAAGTATAGCTGGTTTCGGATGACATGTTATTATTGTTGGTATTGTATCCGATCCGATCTTTTCAACTAACCACATGTGAGTATCACGACTCATTTGTGAATGCAGAAAAGCATTACTAAGATCAGTTTCAATCTTAAATGATGATAAATCAAAAAGATCATTTATTTCTGTCCAATTGTTCGATGATCGTTTCATTGTACGATGAATTCGTTGTGCTTCATATATGAGACGTTGACATTCTTCTAAATGTCTAACATATTCTGGTCTATCCAAATATTTAAGTTTACAAAATTTAGTACATTCTGCTAACATGTTATTAAAATCTGATTGAATACTACTAGTCATATTATTTGACAATGTATTAGCACAGGCATATAATAGAAACAACTGGCATTTGTTTAAACGTAATTGATCGACATACAAATATATGTTGAAATAGACTTGATCACGACATTTAATAACCGATTGAAAGGAACGATCCATTGATCGAGTCCACACATGACTAAATTCGTATTCTAAAGCTGGATCGAAATCCTCTACAATACGAATATCTTGTGGCACAGCTGAGAAATCTTTCACTGGTATCAGATCTAACAAAGTATTTTGTATGTCTGAGTTAGGTAATTTGTTGAATAGATTATAAATATTTGTTGGATTTAATACATCATTCGATGTTAATTGTAAACATTGACTCAATTGAACAATTCGATCCATGTTGTTTTCAAATTTTTGCATTGTGGTATTGGTAATCAATGTTTTCCATGCTTCACAATCACTCATTTCATTCATTTGATTCTTAATTTGTTCTTCTAAATCGGTTAAATTTCGTTTGATTTCACTCGAATATGAAATATTACTCGCTGATTCAGTATCCAAATTTAATTTACTAATATAGAATTGCTCATTACTTCGAAAATACTTGATACTCAAACATTGATCAATGAAATGTTCGCGTTGATTAATGGAAAAATTCCACCATTCTAGTTGTAATATTTGTTGATTGTCTCTCTTAATACTGATGGCATCAATTGATGGTAGTGAAATGAATATTTTAACTACATTGTCTTTGGAATGCAGAAAAACTGGTATTTCAGAGACAATATTGTACTTAATCTCTTGTTTTACTTGAGTGGATTCCAGAGTATTAGTATCGGAGGGTATTTGATCAGAAGAAATAGTATACTTAGGTTGTTGATTATCTTTTATCAACAGTTGTAAATCGATTCTAGTTAAATGAGCACCTGAATATTTAATTACAAGCCGTGAAATATTTCCAGATTCTAGAGATAACATTTTATCTATTGGCCTTAGTTTAAATAAATTTTTATAACGACTATGTAGTTTAATAAGTTCTTGCACCTCTTCTTGAGGTGGCAATGAGAAAGCATAATCATTACCCTTCTGATGATATGCCAAATACATTAATATTTCACTAGCAGAAATCTGAAACAATGTATCAATATTAACCGGAGAACTGGAATGATCAACCAATGGTAAATGCGAAATAACATTCTTGTATATCCAAGTGGATTTAAAACGAGCTTTTATATCTCTTAATGATATTTTTTTTCGTTTTTCTTTACGTAAAAGAATAAAATTCTCGCCGTTTTTATTCCATTTATCGTTTTCCGATTTAATTATATCGAGAATCGATTTAAATTTAATAGAACTTTGAAATTGATTGAAACGATTTTCCATTTCTACTTTAGCAGCATCATACAAATCTTGAAATACACTTTGCTCTAATCGATAAATTCCATCGAGTAATTGAAAAATATTTGTAAATATAGAATCATCATTAATAAAATGAATCAGTGGTTGTTCGAGAAGATTTGTTTCGCTAATTTTGTATAATTCACGTGTTGAATTTAATAATTTAAAAAAGGATAATGAATCAACATGATGAAGAGGCATATTCATTAGTATTGTTTCTAAATTATTGATTCCACCCACAATTAATTGATAGATTATTGCAAGATGTTGTAATCGATTTAAACGAAGTGATCGATGATCATCATCGACATCGGCAAGAAGACGATTTTTTTGTTGAAGTGCTCGTTCAATATCAGCTAATCGATAGACAGAACTTGTTTTCCTATTTGACGTTGCATCTTCAATATTAAATAATGTATTAGTTTGTTTAAAATTTCGTTGATTCCATTCAAGTTGACGTTGAATATTAAATTTGCGTGTTTGAATAAATCCACGAAAGATTTCTTTCATTGTTCTATGCCATCGATTAAGCAGATTTTCATTGAAAGTTTTCATTGATGGTCGATTTTTAACAAGAATTTCTGCAAGTTTTTCAATATGTTCCCAGATTATTTTCAATAAATTTGATTCAAGTTGTTTATTAATGAAATCACTTTGATTATTAATTTCGGATGTTTCATCAGTAAATTTTGAAAAATCTCTACAGATCTCTCTTAATATTTCACCTTCTTCAGCGATTACAGATTGGCATATTTTATGAATTAATGAATCAATTGTTAACCAAGAACGACTAATTAAATGAGCAGATGGTAAAACAAATTGAATTAATTCTTTTATAGAACGATTAATTTCATCGAATAGACTAAATGAATTTGAACTAAATGTAAATGCAATATGTAATGTTTGATAGAGAAGTGCATCACTATGACTTTTCAATTGCATTTCACATGTTTCTAATAAATTGAGTAAGTCAGATTCACTTTTTGGTAAACCTGAATTAATTATATCATTTTCAATGCCAACAAGATATTCACTAAATGGTTCTCGAATACCATATTGTAATTGTGAATAGAGACATCCAGCATAAAGTAAATTACCAACGAATCGTTTAAATTCTCTAATTAAATATTGTATATGTCTACTATATTGACCAGTAAATGCCATATCTAATTTTGTTACTTCTGTATGAACTTGATGACTAATATCATATGCATGTTTTAATACTTTAGTTTGTTCTGCACCACTTCGAACTTGATCAAGAAATATTTTACATTCATTATTTGTACAATGATTTAAATCGCATAAAATAATTTTTTTCTTAGTTTTTCCATATTCAATCATTTGTGTTGTTTTTAATGTATCAATATATTTATTCCAACTTAATGTCGAATGAATAAGTGAATCAAGACCTATACATATTAAATCACAATAAAAGAAAATAAATGAATACATTGGATCATTATCAACTATTTTGTCTTTAACATGTGTTTTTATATTATTTAATTCAGAAATAATAGAATCTTTCATTTGTTGAATTTTAGTACTATTAAGATTTGTTTTCGTTGGTTCAAGTAAATTTTGTCGACAAAAATCAACAATGTTATTTAATAGTGTAGTAATATCAGTTTGAGATTTGTTGTTCGGCATAGGTTTATTGATTGCATCAGTAATACATGTAATTAGTTTTTCTGATATAACTTTTAAATAGTGAACTGCTTCGAAAAGCCATTGATCTTGTTCTTGTTTAAGTCTACTTTTATACATTATTAGTTCATTATGGAGAAGAAGTTGATCATTAGAAAGTTGTTCTTTTTTCTTTTTAATTTGTTGTTCAAGATTTGTTTTATCTATAAGACATCTATCTACTATTTGTTGTAAACGATCACGAACAGAATATGCTTCATTTCTACTACATTCACGATCAATTTCAGCATTTTCATAATCGTTAGAAATTTTTTCTAAATTTCTTTCATCTTTATTAATATCTTGCTCAAGATGATAAATATTTGTTTTCATTTTTTGTAATTCAACATCTTTTTCTTTTAATGTTGTTATCGTAAGTAAATGTATATGTTCATTAAAATCATCTAATTTCAAAGCTATCCAATCTGTTAAAATTAATAATGCAAATGAAAGTGCTATTTGAATAGGAAACAATTCTTTAACACTTATTGATACATTCATTAATCCATCTGTTTGAATTTTTGGTTCCATAAATAAAGCTATTATTTGTTGAATAAATGTAGTTGAATAATTACGTATTTCAACAATATGTTTTTGTTTATCAAATAGTGGTGTTGAGATTGATTTATCACGATATGTAAAACTTGATAAACCATTCGTTGCTCCATTAGATGATACAAATGATGGTAATTGTAATGGTTCGATTTTGTTAATACGTCCACTAAGAAATTCATCAATTTGATTAAATTTTTCACAAATAGTAAGCATAACAGTTGTATATTCAGGTATAAATAAACAGATAAGATCTTCCGGTCGAATATCTATTGGTAATAAACTACAACTAACGTTTGTTGTAAAATTTTGCATACGATTTTCTGTAATATTTAAATCATCACTAATTTTTTTAATGTTATCAAACATATTAAATACATTAAGATTTGTTTTTTTTGTCCATTGTTGAATACTATTAGCAAGTGTAGCAATATCAATATAATTTGAAAGCATACCTTGTTCAGCTTCGACATTAAGTATATCAGAACGAAATTGTGCATAAGCAAAGGCAAAATGATCCATCAATATATTTTTATCGTCTTCATTATTTAATCCACGTTCAAGTTGCATAGCTAAATCATTATTTAGTTTCATTAATGTATCTCGAAGTTCATCATTATTATTCGATTTTAAAAGAGATGCAGCACGTAACCATGTTTGACTTGACACATGTGCATTTGTTAGACGAATAACATTACTTAATTCATTGAATTGATTACCTTGACTACTATTTTTAATATTTTGTTGTAAAATATTTAATTCATTTTCATAATTTAATGTACGAGTGTTGTTCATTTGTAAACTAAGCTCGACTTCATGGATTTCATGAATAGGTTCATCGTCAGGTAAAGTAACATTAGATGTTGTATATTGATTTATTTCTTGAATGAAGTTTTGTAGAAGATCAGCTAATGTTCGTTCTTCATGTATAAGCCATTTAAAATTCTTTTCTGTATCTTGATTTATATCGAATGTTTTTAACTTATGTAAAGCTGTATGAATACGTTGAATAATTGGTTGTGGTTGTATAGGTAATTGACTCGCAATTATTAAATTTTCTTTTAATCTTTTTATTGTTTCATTAATTTGTGATTGCATTTGTTTTTTACGTAGTTCAAGTGGATCTCTCGTTATAGATGAATTTTCATTAGTTATATCGTTTGATGTATTATTTATTGTAATTAAACGTCGATTTGGATCGAATAATAAAGCTAGTGGTCGAATAAAATTTGTCAGATTATATCTTATTAAAAGTTTATTACTAAATTTTAATTTTAATAAATATTCATCAAGTTTTATTTGTAAATCATTGAATATGGATTCTGTTTGTGTTACACCAATATGTAATTGATTATTAACAATATCAATTACAGATAATGTTAACTGAAAAATATGTTCTAAATGACTAATTGCATATGGTGTATTTTCATATAATTCGTAAATAAAATCATCTTTACCAAATATTGTATGTTGAACAATTAATTTTAATAATTTTAATATTTTATTAACAAAATTAAATAATATATTAAATTCAGGAATACTTTCAATAGCTGTTGAACTCATACCTTCTTCTAAATGTTGAATAATCATATGTACACAACCATATTTTTCTTTTAATGGTTCTAAATAACCTAATGATGTTAAACGACTACTTAAATTAGGTGGTTCAATTGATTGTATAGAATATTGTAATTCTTCTTGAATTTTTTGTGCTACAGTTGATGAAAATTTTTCTTGATATGGTTTAATAAATATCCACATTTGTTGAATTGATGTTATCCATAAATCATCAGAAATAGCTGATTGAATAAGGGAATCTAAATCTGTTTGAAATCTATTTATATTTTGATACATTAATACTGTTAATGATTTATATTCAGCTGCATTATGTTCAACAAAATATTTTAATTCATTAAATATAACTTTAATTTGATCATAAATTTCACGAATTTTTAACAGTGTTATATCATCTCCTTGATATAAATGCATTAAACAAGCTAAACCAAATAATTCTTGTCCATTTTCTGTCATTGTTGTTTTTATATGTTCAAATATGTTTTGTTTAATATGACAGTGAATTCCATCAGGTAATGATTCATTTAATACAGTACGTAATTGATTAGTATTTATTTGTTGTATACTTGATATAGTAATTGATATTGTATTATTTTGTTTTGTTGTTGATAATAGACAACATTCATAAGAATTTTTATTTGGACAATAAATAATTAAATCATGAGGATTTAATGTATTTATATCAATATCATCATTAATTTGTTCCCAATTTGAAATAATATAAAATTGATATTGTTGATCAAAGTATGGAAGAAAATAATAACCAACAAGAAAAAATGCTAAAGATGATTCAAGAATATCATCATGTTCAATTAATTCACGACCGAATGATGTAGCTAATACAGCACGAGTATCAAGTAAACCTTCACGATTAATTAATGTTGAATTCTTTCGAGCTTCATTTAATAATCGTAAAAAATAAATGAGTTCTTTAGCATCAGGCTTTTCAAGTTGTTCACGAACAAATTTATAAGCATCGGATTCAAGTAAATTTTTGATTTCATCATTCAAATTTCGACGTGCAGCTATTGCTTTATCTAATGCTGTTGTACGAGTATCATAAGATTGATAATAATCATTCTTTAACATATCTAATTCTGATTTTAATTTAATTTGTTCTTGTTTAAGTGTATTCAAGCGACTATTAAGTGGATTTTCATCTGGATGAATAATCGATATATCACGTGATAATCTTGAACGTAAATTTGGCATTGCTCGATTAGTTACATTTGTATCATTTTGATTTATTAATTCTGATTCAATAATTTGACTTTCAAGTTCTTGAATATTTTCTTTACATTGATCTAATGCTGCTTGTTTTAATTCAAGTTCGTTTTTTAAACGACAATACTTTGTATTTATTGAACTTGATTCCGATGGTAAATCACGTACAACAGCTCCAATTATTGTTGTCATTTTATTACTTAATTCTAATGCAGAAAATTTTAACTCAGATTTAAGAATAAAATCTCGTGTAATACAAATATTTTTCTGTAAAGCATTTCGTATACTTATTGTAAGATAATCATCAAATGTCCATTGTAAAGTAATCCATTCGAGAAGTGTAGCAAAATATTGAATTGGTTTCATCATAACTGTATTTGTTTTTGCATTAAACATATGTTCAATAAGTTTACGTAGATCTTTTCTTGTTGATCTTATTGGAAATGATTGTGCACGTTCAAATGACCAAATAAGACCACTATCAAAATTTTCAAATAATTGTAAACGAAATTGATATTTAGCATCAATAAATGCTGGATCATGAAAAATTACATATGCAGAACATTTATCTTGATATGTAAGTAATGGTCGAATATATTGTATAACACTTGAACATAAACGTGTTAATTCAATTGTTTGATCAAATGATGCAAAGATTGATGAACTAAAAAATTGATGAAATACATCAATGATTGATACGGCTCGTTGAAGAAATTCAAGACGTTCATGTGTATCATTAAATGATGTATTACGTATAAATAATTCAAGTAATGTACTTATTTCTTCACATGTTGAATATAACCAAAGTGATCCGTCAGATATAAGTCTTTTTATTAATTGTCCTTTATTTGTCATTTGTTTTAAATCAATATGAATTGAAATATTTTTTTGTTGCATTAAGTCAGTTAATAATTTATCTAAATCGATTTGTAAATTATCATTATTTATTAATGTTTGTTTTAATTGAATAAGATTTGGATCAGATGGTGACATTAGTAGTAGAATATTATCAATAAATAATATACATAGAGAACACAATAATTTAGATAATTTGTTATCATATGCTAATATTTTAATCATATTAAATATTAATTCAACTAGATAACGTTCAAATGAAACAAATTTCGAACGAATACGTTGTGATTCTTGAATCCATAAGGCTTGTTTACGATCAAGTTCATCCGATGCTGTTGAATAAACTGTTGATGATGAACGTAAATTAAGTTTATCTATTGTTTGTTGTAATTTAGTAATAAATGATTTAAATTGATGATGATTTTGTAATGATGAACAATAACAACGTATTAATGACCAATAACATGCATCAACAGGATTTATTTTACGACTAATTAAATAGAATATTGTATGAATACATTGTTCTAAAAGACGGTATGTAACAGAAAAATCACTTGGATATGTTAATAGACTATCTTTAACATCTTGTTTAACATTCAGATGTGTTAACATAAGTAAATGAGCAAGCTCTTTTCCAGCTGGAATTGTTGCTAATTGTGTTGAAATTAGTTCATATAAATCACTTGTTGTTGGATCACTATTTGTTTTAATATCAAAATCATCAATTTGTGGTAAACAAATACGTATAACACGATTAAGAAAAGCTGATGAAAGTTTATTTGAATATATACGATTAAGATTAGCTGTTGTAAATAGACGAAAATTTTGATGTATACTTTCATTTTCTCTAAGTACTTCTCCCTTTGAATTTTCATATAATGATAACATTGGTTTATCTTCAGTAAGTGAATTAAGTCGTTCGAGTACATCTGGTGGTGCACTATTAACATTATCTAAAAGAACCCACCAACCTTCTCGTATAGCTTGAATAAATTCTGATTCAACAAATGTAAAACCTATTTCTTGTTGTCCAGTAATACGAAGGATGTTTAATTTCGTAATGAAATTTTCAGCTTGACGTGAATAACATGAAAGTCGTAATTTTACTTCATTTGGCATTTGTGGAATTTTACATATATCATTCATAAGTGTCATTGTATCATTTAATGCTTGAATTTCTTCTTTTATAGTTTCAGTTCGTTTAACAAATGAATTTTTACAACGTGTTTGAAGAATAGTTCGATATTTATCAAAAACATATTTATTACTATTATCAAATAATAACGGCATAACAAATAGAAATAAATCTTTAATAATTTGTTTAAACATTTTATCAATTTTTTCAAATACAGGTGATTCATTTGATTGATTATCATCAGTTGGTAACCATGAACCAATTAAATCAGTTGTTTCAAAATTTTCATGTAATGGAATAATAACAAGACGATTACGAGTTATACGAGCTAATTCTATAACAAGAGAAGATTTTCGAGAACAAATATCACCTTCAAGAAGAATAGCTCGTTTTGATTGACATGCTGCTGCAAGTAATTCAAGTTGACGAATAGTTTTCTTTGTATGAATAAGGCCAATATTAGATGGTGATATATCTTCACTACCTGTATTAATATAAATTGAACCAATACGAACAACACTAGCAACAGCTGTATCAATTGAACAGTCATTTTCACGTTTACTTAATGTTTCATTAATTGGAAATTTTGTATTTATCATTTCACATGCTTTAGTAAAATCAGTTTGATCTTGAAATTGACATGCATAAGCAACTTGAGCGAATTTTCGTATCGATAAAAAACTTGCATACGATGTATTCATAGTTTGATTTAATTCATTTGATTTTTTCATATCATCAGATTGCGATGTTTGCATTATATCATGGTTTTCATCATCAGTTGTATTTATATATTGATAATGAAATAATTGACTTTTAATTGAACCACGAAATACATCACGAAATTTTGTTAAATCACGTAAATTAAGTTCATATGGTCCACCTGTACGCCCAAGTGATCCTTCACGAACAAGTAATTTAAGTGATGTATGCATATCAAATAATGATTCAATTTGTGACATTGTAATTGTTTTATCTTCGCTTAATTCTTTATCAAATATTTTATTAAGAATAATACGTAATTCTTCTTCAGAATAATCATCAAGTTGAACAATAGTAAATAGATTACTAATTGAACGAGGTAATTTACTACGACCACCACCTATTGTTGATGGATTCATAGTAGCAAATACAAGAACATTTTTCAATGGAACTTTTTCACCTGTATTTGGTACAAGAAATTCAGTTATACCTCGATAAAATAGAGGCGTAAGACCTTCGAGAACTTCAGGTGTAGCTAAATTAAGTTCATCGAAAAGAATCCATTTTCCTTCTTTAATTGCTGATAAAACACGACCTTCTTGCCATTGAAATGTTCTAATACCATTTATAAATCGAGGAATAATACAACCAATTAATTGATCAAGTGATGTGTTTGATGATAAATTTATACGTTCACATTCTTTATTTAATAGTTGACAAACTTGTGTAACGACTTGTGTCTTACCAATACCGGGTGGACCTTCGAGAAGAAGAGGTGTTTTTGATGATGAAGCAGCAAATATTCTTGCTATTTGATTAAGTAATGTTGGTGTAGGTACACATGTTAGTTTCTTTTTAAGTTGTTCAATATCAATTTTTTCATCATTTGATTCAAATTTATATCGTACACGAGTATAATTTAAACTAACATAATTATGACCAACGTCAAATGGTAATTTTATCGATGTTTCATTTGATTTAATCAAGTCGAGCGTCAATGCTCCGTGCGTATGATCAGGTGCTTTAAAAATATGTTCATAATTCTTATATACAGTTGTAGATGACAAAGTGTGATGCCAATCTTCAAAAATAGAAGCCTGTCTCGGCATAGGTAATTGATCAAAATAGAAGAAACGAGCACCGAGTAACATACGGTGAGTAAGTTCAAGTTTTTGATCATGATTTTTAATGAAATCTGTCCAGCGAAATAGTAGTTGAATATCATTTTTAAGTTTCCATTCTGTATCATGGATTAATTTATGACGTAATGAAAACATTGTATTAACGAATGATTCAAGTTCCTTGTCGCCTATATCCTTCTCATCTATTTTTATTTTATTTAATTCAGCTTTAACAAGTATTTTAAGATCATAATCTGTATAAGATGGTATATGAATTTCTGTGAAACGTGATCGTGTGGCTGGACTTAATTTGAGTAATTGATGACTTTGTTCTTGATGAACACTAGCAAATATTTGAAAATAATTTGGAAGATTAATATCTAATTGACCTTTATCAACTTGACTAGTAATATCTTCAGTTAATGCGAATGCTGGACTTGGTTCAAGCATTGAATTAAGACGTTCAATGACAGCTTGACTTGGTAGATCAAGATCTTCGAGAAATAAAATAGAACCTTGTTTTGCTGCTGTTGTCACTGGCCCATCATTGAAAAGAAAAATTGGTTTACTACGATCGAATGCCGGAGATTTGAGACAATCCCAAACTTTAAGAAATTTATCGTGATAGTCACGTAATGCTGCATCTTTTGATATGAATGATGCATAGGTTGTCTGTCCAAATATTGATTTAAAATTTTCAATAATATCTGACATAATTTGTAATAATTCTTCAGGAAAATCTATTTTATTAGTTGAAGTCATAGAAAGCGATGATTGAGGTGAAGATGAATTGTTATTTATAGATACACTTGATGTAACTACGCTTGGAAAACCATCATTAAGAACAGTATTGTCTTGTTCATCGCTTGTAATTATTGATGTTTCTTGTGTCTCTTTTGATGTAGTTACATATTGAAGTAAATCAAAACCATCATCGAGTTGATTCATAAGTTGCACCTGAGTAGTTGTTGGTGGCGGAACAAATGTATCAAAACCATCGTCAATTGTATTTGTTACAGTTGGATTGTCAGATATTGTTACTAAACTTTGATTTACATTCGAAATGAAACTATCAAAACCATCGTCTATTGTGTTTATTGTAATTCTATTTGTTGACTTTGATAGTGAAATTTCATCCGTTTTGGAAATAAAGCCACCGAAACCATCATCTAGAGTTTGTACTGTAACTTTATTTATAGTTTTTGATGCTAAACTATGAGTATTTAAATTGTTACAACCACCAAAACCATCATTTAAATCAGTAGTAGTATTAAAGTCTGCAAAGTTATCATTTAAAACTGCAGAAGTATTAGTTTCATCATTTATTCTGCCATACGTAAAGTTTGGATTTGTCATATTCATATCTAACAACGCCATATCTAAATCATCATCATCATCATCATATAGTTTTTGTGCAAAATGCGGCATAGGTGAATTTTTTCCAGATGAAGATTTTAATAGTGATGATTTAACATTAAGAAAATTACTTTGAATAGGTGCGTCGGGTAGGGATGCCTGTCGTTCTTTAGCTTTTGCAATGATTTCATCGAAATCATCGACTATTTCATCTTTCTGTTGACGACGTTCTTCACTAAGTGAATAAGCTTTTTCAAAAGCAGCGATAGCTTTTGGAAGGTCTTTTCTAATCGCATCAGTAAGCGGTTGTAAAGAAACATAATCTTGTTGTGCTAATTTTAATGTTTTCTTTTCATGTCGATAGAGACTTCGAAAACGAATATAAATACGTTCGGCCATAGCCGGTAAACGTTTGAGTAAATCAAGAAATGAATATGGTTGAAGTTCTCCAATTAAATTACCTGCTTCTGTGTCCGGTGTTAAATGAACTTTGATGAGTTCATCAGAACGGCCAGATAATCGAGCCCACGTTTCAACAAGTAATGTTTTACATGATGTTGGTCCGACAAATAAAACAGGTTCTTTAGCATGTACAGCAAGAGCAAGACGAACAAGTGAACGATGAAATGATTCTGGTGATGTTGGTACAATACTATTGTTTAGTGACATATTTGGTATATCAACATAGAGATCAGCCTCTCGAAAACGAGCACTAGTGCCAACAGATCGTATTTCAATTGTTGGATTTTTCAATAAAGTTATATTTGGCCATACTGCTCTTAAATCTTGCATTAAAGATTCGTTCATTAAACTTTCAAATGGATATTTGACAGCTAAAAGTGATGCACCAATAACTGGCCAAAGTTCTTTATCAGGTGAAAATATTGCATGTCGATGAAGCCATTTAACAAGTTCACGAAATGTTATTCTTGATTGTTTTTTAATAAGTTTATGATAAAAATTGGACAATTTTTCAGTTGAATCTTTTTTCAAACATCTTGGCTTTTCTTTGCCTGATTCATTACGTTCATAGATAATTTCTGGTAATTCATTTGCTGGAAAATCATCAAATTGAACTTCAAGAAAACGATTACGTAATGAAACAGGTAATTGGTGACGATTTGCATATGATGCATCATTTTGCGTTGCAAAAAAATGAAAACCAGGTCTTGCTTTTATTACTTTTCCACTTGATGGTATAGCAATAGAATTTTTACCTTCTAATAATGGGAAAAGAGTGTTCATAACAGATGGATCAGCCAAATTAAATTCATCAGCAAGAAACCACCAGCCATTTTTCATAGCTCGATAGAGTGCACCTTCTTGAAATACAAAGTCTTTATTAACTGGTAGAAATGTACCGAGATAATCTTGTATAGTTGTTGTATCTGTATTATTAACGCGTGCAAGTTTTACTGAAGATGAATGCACAGTTGTATTATCATCTGATGATTTCATATGTTTCCATAAATGTGAAATAAGTGCAGTTTTGCCAACTGCTGCTGGACCTTCAAGTAAAAGTGGAATTTTACAAGCTACAGCACCTAAAACTGCATTAGCATAATTAATTCGACTATCAGTCAAAATATGTTCTTTATTTGGAATGATTTGATTAAGAAAATTAGGTTGTTTCAATACAGTAGAATTTTTACTATTACGTAATAGTTCTTGAACACGTTTTGTAACTTTATTTTTAAGATCATTGTTTTTAATTTGATTTGCAATTGTAACATGATATGCTGTCCAAAGACTAGAAATAAAATCAAGTTCAGATTTAAATTTTAATCGTAAAAGATATGCACTATCAAGTAATCGAATAATATTTCGCAAAGTAAATTTTGGAAAACTTTTATGTTCACATTCGTAGAAGTCAAGAATCGTACGACATAATTTTACAGCTAATTCATGATCAGTGTCAGGTTCATCGGATAGAAGAGCTTTAGCAATATCAAGTATTTCCGATGAATTATCAGTTGCACTAAATGATATATCCATCATATGAACAATGCCAAAACGATTATACAGTGCTGGCGAAAGTTCACTCGATGCACCACTTATATTACCATGTGACTGTTGATGGCTATCAGGTGGTGTCATTGTAGCAACCAGTTGATAATCTGAATGGATTTTTTGTTCGTTTATTTCTCCTTTTTCTGTTAAACACAACATTGGATTCTGTTCGAGTACAGGATTGAGTCGTTCAAGTACAGATGATTCGGCTACACTTAAATTATCTAAAAGTACCCATTGACCAGTTGTATATGCTGTTGTTACAGCACCATTTTGCCAAATCAATTTTTTATCTTTATTAAATTCATCTTTGTCACTATTATCATTGGGAACAAGCTGACCAATCAAAGCTGATGGCTCAGTTTCAGGTGTAGTATTTAATTGTTGTACTTGTTGACCACAAAACCATGCTAGAGTTAATAGAAGTTCAGATTTTCCACAACCTTCAGGACCAGTAACAAGAATTGGTTGTTTAATAGTTCGATTAAAACATACTTGTTTAAGTGTTTTCAATGCTCGATCTGTAAGAACATATGGTATTTCTGGTTGCACTAAAAATTCTTTGAAATTGTTTTTATTAAAATCAATATTTTCAAATGTATTTGTAAAACAGGAGCGAATTTTTTTTTGAGCTTGAATATGACGAACATGATTCTCATATAATTGACAACCATGTTTAGCAAAATTATCTTGGTTTTCAAGTCGACCATAATGTGCAGCTGATATAATCCATTCTTCTAACCAAGAACGATCAATACGATAAATACCATGTTTACTAATAAATTCTTTATCAAGCATTATTTTATGAATTTTTTGATGAGTTTGAATGGCTAAATTCCATAGATTTTTATTATATTTGATATTTTTTAATTCAGCCGAATCTACGATACGGTTCCATTCATTTTCAAAATTATCAATAGATGAATCGAGTCGTATTAAACATGGTACATTATCAAAAAAGATTTTATTTTGTTTGTGATCAACAGTAAATTTAATATTATTTAATGCTGGTCTACCCCAACCACCTCTACCATCATCTGTTAAAAGTTTTTCTACTAGAGTTCGACCAATATGGCGATATCGAGCACCGTATACACACCAAGCACTAAAACTAAGTAAAGCTGTTCGTTGAGTTCCGTTTGAAGGCCATAAATTATTTTGTGCTTGCCAAGTAATAAAATCAATCCATTTAAGAAGTTCACGTATGGAAATTTCGGCATACGGTCCCGTTTCAATGAATGTTTGCTCTTCATTATTTAACATTTTCTTAATTTTAGCATTAAAATTCGAAACCATCAATTCAGCTAAACTTTCTGCCTCATTAAATAAATAAGGTGATAGTCGCCTATGAACTATTTCACGCCATTCGATATCAGGTAGCTCTTTAAAGATCAGCGGTCGAAATCGACTTAAAAACGATGGTGATAATTTTTCACGTTTATTTTTAAAAAAGCCTGTATTTGGATTTTGTGTTGCAAATAATCGAAAATTTTCATGCATATGATAAACAATAGCAGACTGTTGTGCTGAACTTCCATCGCATATAGCTAATTGACGTCTATCAAGAGCTGATTCAATAGCTTGTAGTACAGTATCTTGTGCTAAATTAAGTTCATCAAAAAGCATCCAATGACCTTCAATAAATGCCATTGTAAATGGTCCATTTTCGAATTTAAATTGTACTGATTGACCTTGTTCACCTGGTACAATTGCTACTTTACCAAGTAAATCATCAATAGATACACGTGATGACATATTATAACGTTTAAGTTCACGACCAGATAGTTTAGCTGCTTCCATAACAGTTGCACTTTTACCAACACCAGTGCTACCTTCGAGTAAAATTGGAACAGGATCATCAAGTACTTCAAGAACTTTAGTTACATTTTCTCGTGCTGTTGCTGTTAAAATTAAGCGATCTTTTTGTTGTTGATGATCGATAATAGGAGGTGATTGATTGACATGTCGATCTGATAAATATGATCGTAATATATGATCAATTTCATGTGACTTGGCTTTATTTAATTTATTTAATAATTCATGTCCATTATTAAAATCATCATGTCCTATTCGAACAATATCCGGCGTTTGAGTAAGTTCTGTTGAAAAAAATGATGTTTGTTGTCGTTGATCACTAGCCTTAACATCACTTGAGTGATCATCATTGGATTGATTTTGGATTAATTCATCAAGTATAGAACGTTCATTTGGTGATAGTTCTAAAATCTCAGCAAGTAGAATAATAGCTGCTCGTTTTAATTCACCTATACGACCTAATATAGGTATAATATCTAATGTAAATGGTGAGAGTAATTCAACGAGTTTTGAGCGTGATCGCTCTTTAATAATTTCATTACTAAGACTAAGTAGATGAAATTTACATATATCTACCGACTCATTATCTTTAGATTCTTCAATTTGATGAAAAAGAGTCTTCAATAATGGTTCACATCGAAGTATTGCTGAAGAATCATTATCCACAAATGAAGCAACAAATAAGATAATATGAGATAATTGACTTGGCTTTTCGAAATTAATTGATAGAAATTTAGGTAGATATTGATGAAGAAAAAAATCTGCAATATCTGTTTTATATTTATTATATCTTGAATAGCCAATATCAAGAAGTAATTCAATAAGACGAATATTTATTGATGGAATATCAGTAATTAACAACCATGTTTGAATAATCAAATGAAGTCTAGTTTCAAATAGAGATTTTTCTGTTTGTAAGTGTTTTGTTAATGTTTCAATAATTGTTAATAGAGTTGGAATAAATTGTTCAGCAATATCTAATTCACAACATTGAAGTAATTCATTTACTTGTTCATGATTTACCTGTTGAATATATGTAACTAATGTTGTTATTGGACAAAGTGAATGTTTGAGAAGTTCAAAACAAATTATATTTGATGGATATTTAATAATGTAACTGATAATTGGAGATAATAAATTAATTTCCGTAAATGTACTTATATGATCCAATATTGATATTAAAATTGAACAATGATCATATGTACCGTTAGTGCAGTGCAAAGCACAACATTTATTTTGATTATTTTCAATAACATAATCAATATAATATAAAATATAACTTTTATCAATTTTTTTAATTGCTTTAATTAAACGTGCTTCGCAATATTTTGGTAGTAATTCTTCAAGTAGAATATAAAAGCACATGTGACCGCGTACATTAGAAAATGGTGTATTTGCATTAATATGTTCTGTTAGTTGTTCAATGAGAGTATTTGATTCATCTGTTTTACAATCAATAATTCTTTTTATAAATTCAACAATTTGACATAAAACAAATTTATGTAAATTATCATCTTCTATAGTTGGCCAAATACTGAATAGATTAATAATAAACTGTTGTAATTGTTTATCATAGCCAATCATATCAAGAACTCGTAAACGATCGAATATAATTTCATACATTTTAATATCGAAAAGTTTTGATTTTAAATTCAATAAATAATGAAAAAGTTCAAGCCATACAGGAAATATATGAATAGCTTTTATACTTGTTAAACTCATAGGTGTTAATATATTCTGAAGTTCTTCAGAATGTTGACAAGCATCTAGTGCTTTATGAATAATATCATTAACACGTAGACGTGGTAAAGCACATCCATCATTACATTCATCTTCACGACCGTCACTCCATTTTACAATAAGCTTTTGTTTTGATCGGTATGCTAATTGATTAACAGCATCAGAACAAACTGCAGGATCCATACATTGAGCACTTTCTATTATTAATGGATCGAAATAGATTCGCCAAATTGGTTCGAAAAAAGTTGGCTGAACAAGATATTTACACATATCTTCAGCATTATTTTCATTGAAATTGATACATTCAGTAAGTAGCTGAATTAATCCATTCATCTCTTTGCCAGTACAATGAGGACAACGAAATAGACGAATTAGATGAACAAGCGTAAGGGGTTTGTTTGGATTATCTTGTCGACTAATAAAAGAAGATGAAGTAGAATTAATCATTTTTCATATCAAATAGTACAACAAGGATAAATAAATTCAATAAAAATCAAATCAACATATTATCTAACATATGTATTATTGGCATTCTTATTTTTGTTTTCTTATCGAGAAATACTATTACTACCGTTGTCCACTAGTATTATTTGTTGAATTGAATAAAAGTTTCAAAAAACAAAATTTAATTTTCTACTTGAATATCTATGAATATAAAATGTGAATAGCAACAAGAATCCTGTAAATTATTTCAAAATTATTGCTAAATATGTAATCTTGATTTTAATCAATTATGAATGATGAAAATAAAATACTTTTATTTAAACAAAATAGATCTACTAAGATATTTTATATTCAAAGGATGAATATTAACTCGAATAACATTGCACTTTAAAATAAATAAGAAAAGATATTACTTATACCGATGTCTTACGAGAAGTGGAAACATCTTCTTTCTTTTAGTATCATCATTTTATAGTTTTCCAATGAAAATTTTCAAAATTAAATGTCGAACATAGATTTTAAATGCAATACTAAAAGAATGGAAATAGGTTTTAATCTGTGAAATTGAATGACGAATAGTGAAATCTCTCGAGATATAGAGTGTTAAATGTATATGGTGTGGATTCTTCTTACTTCTACACCCACCCTAATTGATTTGTCAGTAGATATAATCTCAGCTCAAAATATCATATTTTGATATTTTGGTATAAATCATAGTATCGGATAAAATTACAGTTTAATCCTTATAAGTCTCAAGAGAAAAATTAAAACAGATTGATTCTTTTGGAGTTTTTCATAGATCAATAGGGTCTACACAATATACTAAGTTCGAATTGAAAGACGATTGAACACTGAAAATGTTTTATTTTAGATCAAAGATAAGGTTTATTTATTGAAAAAATCTGGCATTTTTCAATCCTAAGACTTTGTTCAATTAAAAAAGTATTAAAACAAAACAAACTCTACTATTATCACAAATATCTCATCATTTGCCAATTTAGATATCTAAGCAGTCAAAGAGAAAAATACTTTTATGCTTACATGAAAAAAAATCATTCCATGAAAAATAAACTTATTATTAGAGAACAAGAGTGATATGTGTACCAAACACTGCTGGTCTTTAGATAAAATTTTTGTTCGGTATGCTTTGGGAAAATGGATAATGCAATAAAACTTACAAAAGATTGTCATACTCTTCAGTATTTTTCGATCTCAGCAATATATGATAATATCTTGCCTCTGCAAGAAAAATTAATTTTCACAAGAAAAAGATAATTAGATTAACAAATGTATTAATGGACACCATTAACTTTAGATGTGCTTGATTTGTCAAAAACGAATAAAAAAAACATTTCGTGGTAAAATTTTTGAACTCATGACGTTCAATTATAATAAAAAACAAAAGATGCAATCTACAATAACTTACTCAAATTGAAGTGCACCATTTGGCAGCACAGTTACAATAGTAATTTTTCGTTCTCGAACATGCTCAAGTAAACCTCGTGCTGGAGCTTCACTGGGCTTTGCTCTTAGCCACAAAGCCATAAGATTAACCATCTTGATAGCTGTCACCTGAAAATTAAAAAAAAACATTATAATGATGAAGAACTTCAAGCTATCGATACATTATTGAAATTATCCTATATTGACTATGTTAAAACAATGAAATAGACGAGAAATTGGTGTATGAAACCATGTATACGATATCTTGATTTAAGATCGATTACTAAGCGCTTCAACATGCAATAGATATCATATTCTTTCTTTTGCAGAAACATTTAGTATGATTTCAAAGTGTGTCAAAGAATAGATTCATCGTGATTTTANAGCTTTGTTTAAGTGACAATATAACTACTTTTTGACTTCTTTATTGCTATCAGTCGGATTATGTCATCTATAGAATTAATCACAGAAATCATGCCTCGATTAGGCATAGCAAAAATACTCTTAGTGTGTTAGAGGGCTGAGACAAAGGTTATTTGGCATGCTGAACACGATGGTGAACTTTGTTTCTACCGAAACTTCTCAGGTTCTGGAAAGGTTTTCCAGAAAACCCTCAAAAACCACGAAGAACCGTTTTTTCTGGCTGTTTGAGTTCATCATCGGATAGAGCATTGAAAATAACGTACTCAAACCAAATTTCATATTGCTTCTAGTCTTCTATGATGGGGCTTTAAAACTCCCATTTTCATTAGAGAACGCAAAAAAATAGATTTTCGGCCGGTAATCCAAATTTTTATACCTGATCATGTGGCTAAGGAACTTTTATACTTCTTATTCGAGTAAACAACCTTGATTTAGTTATTACTAATAGTTTTTCATGATGCTAGATTTATCTTTAGAGAAGATACATAGCCTGAAAACTGAATCTTGAGCTTAAGGAGTACTTACAAAAGGATTGCGCTTCTCGCCTTTTAAAAGCCTTTGAGGACTTCATATACTGATATTCTAAATCAGGACATTCGACTCTATCAACAAACATACATTTCAACGAAACCAAGGATAAAAAGTTTTCCAGAGATCCCTGTGGGAGACCCCAGGTCCCAAAAACGTTTTGGCCAGTTTTTCAAAATCTGACTCCTGAAATATCATCAGGCATCATGTCTGACTGTGAATCGATAAAAAAAAGTCAATTTTGTTGGGGGCAGAAAAGTAGCCTTATCGGCCCTAGTCCTTTAAAAAGAAGTAAAATCACGATGAATCTATTCTTTGACACACTTTGAAATCATACTAAATGTTTCTGCAAAAGAAAGAATATGATATCTATTGCATGTTGAAGCGCTTAGTAATCGATCTTAAATCAAGATATCGTATACATGGTTTCATACACCAATTTCTCGTCTATTTCATTGTTTTGACGATGCAAACTGTTCCCAACATTTAGATGGACTCTATTTTCATATATTGGTCAGAATTCTTGAGAAATATGTGCATATATAGAAAATATAGATATTGTAGTCTTCTAGGATGTTCTAAAATAAACTTATGTAAATATTATATTTAATTTAATAATTATGCATATTCTTTCAGTACTTTATAATACATGTTGTTCTTCCTTGATTCATTTCATCGTAGTAATAACTTTTTATTAACTACATAAGGTTTAGAGAAATATTTTATATTATATAATGAAACCAATGAGAAATCAATATCACATCACTATAAATATGTTGGCAACATTTGATCATTGTGGCAACAATTTTTTTTAAATGTACAAATAATGATCAGCAGATTAGTCTTACTAGACAATGCAAATGGCTGCTTTATGAATAAAACAAAAAGAATTACATTGACTTCTGAGCTCTTCGAAGGATATATAAAAATAGAAATAGTTATTGTCGAAATCCATCTAATACATCTATATATTCATCTAGAGCACCGTATATCAGTGTTCGACATGGGTCACTTTTTCAGTGACCCGACCTGACCCGAGTTTTTTTTTCTGACCACCCGACCCGACCCGACCCAGCTGTACTATAACCTGACCCGACCCAGCTGTACTATAACCTAACCCGACCCAGCTGTACTATAACCTGACCCGACCCGACCCGAGGGTAAGAATTTTTTTCAAGACCCGACCCGACACAAGGATAAGAATTTTATTCAAAACATGACTAGATTCGAAGGGAATTTTTTCCTATATGTACATATTGGTTGTGCTTAAAATTCTTTTTTTCTTTCGCCTATCATGCATATCGGTATATATAGATCAATCGATCTCTTTTCTTTCTTTTCAGAAATATAATTTGTCAGTTCCTTTATTTTTATGTTATTGCGCATTGAAAAAAATAAGGAGATGTTCTTGACGATTTCTCAGTTTTTATGTACCACTGATATTGCATAGTTATGGCAACAAAATCATCTGATAATACTTCATTGTTTTTCTGCATTCATTTATATCATGTATAGAATTTAAGACTTACATCGCTAGAAAATATATTATATATTTACTATAAATGCTCTTAAGATATCAATGGATGGAAAATAATGAAATAACACAAAAGATGATATCATACATGCTGCTTTATTAAATCTAATTGTTTGTTGTGAGACCACAGAATTTATAAACAAAAAACTAGCATGATTTTTGTTTCTGAAAAATATGTATTTGATCCGACCCGACACGAGTCGAACACTGCCGTATATAATGAATACATAAATGAACGAGATAGAAATTTGAGTAATTAAATACTAAAAAAATAGGTCTTCTTTCTATTAATCTACTGCTGTATTCTCTATAAGTTTCTAGAAGTTAATATAATATTCCTTTTCTAAATTCATAATTTTGTAATTGAGTCTCACATGCTTTGCACCATACGATTGAAAGCATTCAAATTTCAAATGATCAGCAAATGGCCTAAACCTACGTATAAGTGGTAAGTTTTTGGATGAAAAATGTTTTGCAGTGCAACCTGTTGAGAGCTCTGCTATTGAACTCATGTATGTTTTCTGGCCTGCAATATCTAAGGCCATTAACAAATCGTTAACAAGCTCTATAATAGATTTCTGTGTTAATAGGATTCTATCATGGGGAGGAAGCAACTATTAAAGCTCAGTTTTAAATCGTACACAAACCATTTTCTTCGAAAAGATATGTGAGTTAGAGAAAGTTAAAAATGAATACGACAATTATTTAGAAAACGAAGCAATATCTATAACTGTGTCCTAACGAGTCTTAACAGAAAATGCACACAAGTTTATTCTAAGATATCTCAAAAGTTCACCTTAATTATACCAAGGTGCAGAGGTCTAAAAGGATCTGTTAAATTGTATCTGTTTTGAACCGAACCCGTGTTCTCCCATTAATATTAAATCGATTTTTACCATGAGTAATCTTCTAATTGTATATATGAGTTCTCAGTGGAATTTTAAGTAGCAAATGAAGGAAGAATATTTTTGGATACTCAGCTGTTAGCATTTGACTAAAGAAAGAAAGAAGGCTTATTTGATGTAGAATTAAAATAAAAGGATGCTAAAGGCCTCGCGAAAATATTTGATATGAATAATGTATGATGCAAGATGAGAGAGCAGATAATAAAAAATTCTAAGACAGCTGCATACAGCCAGAATTAGGACTAACTATTTCACTCAAATGATAATGGACGTGTAACATTTCCATTGACTAGGTGGAAAATAAAAAACTTGATTTCGGCAGCGGCGGATTTAATCGTTTAACGATTGATTTGCTTTCCTAAAATCATTTTATTTGACTTGTTTTGAATAGTGTACATAGAACAAATGAATGAGATAATTTATCAGATCTCATTTAACACAAAACGTTCCAATTTTACTTTAAAATTTCAGATGAACGTTTTGATTAACTTTTTTTTCATACCTGCGAACTGAGATTGAGCATGCCAGTTCCAAATGGATAGAATACGAAGCGAAGAAAATCTCCAGCTTGTTCCATCGTTAATCGTCGCACATTGTCTATGAGTCGATCCATCAGTACTTGAGCCAGACTTGTATCCCCATTATTTTCATTCAATAATCGTGCTAATTCAACTTTCAATCTTTTGGATGTATCCTCGACAGAAAATGTTGGTTTTGACGCCGGTTGCGCCATGCTTTTTCGTATTTGTAAATTCTACTATAATACCTAGATTTCAGACGAGTAAATCTAAAAAGAAAGATGTTGTTTGAAAGCTATAAACTTCGATCTAACTTGCTAGAAATATCAGAAAATGATGAATATAAACAATATAATGAATATTTTTAATGAAACGACATATGAGGCAAAGTATTATGAGTGCTGAATAGGTACGCCTATACGTAGTACTATAAGGGATATCCCATAAGCTCTGTTACAGTTTTGTAATACTTTGCTCTCAAGTTCAACAAAAGGCAAGCTCCTTGAAACTTTGACACATTATGGTAATAATCAAGTACTACACAACTACAAAGTTTGAGGTTCATAGTTTTTACTATGGAATGGGAATCAGTCGCAAGTTTGTCATGTACTGTTTTTTTTTTATTTTTCAGCAGCTAAAATTCGATAGAAAAAGAGTAGAGCAAATGTTATCGCCGAGATCTCTTCACTCAACACGTGAGACTAAAAAGTGATGATCATCACAATAAGATGTATATTATAGATGACAGTTATACACAATTTATTCGAACTATTGTAACAGAAAAAGCAACTAGAATATTAGATGATTTACAAAATGTAATTTTTGAAGACGATCAAGATCGTAACCAAAGAATGCGACTGCCATTGAATATTATTAAACTCGTTTCGATCCGATAAAATTACTCAATAGGTTGTGATGCAAAAGTGGATGACGTGTGACACATAGAAAATGTTTGAGGTATACTAAGGGAGAAGTTACGAGAACGAGAATACACGTATATTGAACAATTTTGAAAAACGACGTTCAGAAAGAATGGCAAAAATTCAGTGTTTCTTTATGCTAATGAATGATAGATAAAATAACAAGCGAGATTAAAATTAGTAATCGATCATAGTGATAATCAAATGCCGGAGCACTGGCAACTTGATTTGCGTTCTTTCTTAATTTTTAAAATTTCATTGGTTTTAAACTCTATCCAACATGAGGAGAAAAATTTTAAAAGAATACATGACAAAGTTACTACCGGTTCTCCTTCCACAGTAAAAACTATAGATATCAACCTCTGTAGCTATGTAGTATTATAGAGATGGCATAATCTGTCAAAGTTTCACGAAGTTTGCCTTTTGTTAAACTCAAGAGTAATGAATTCTATGGTTAGTGTGAGTGTGCGTGGAGTGCATACGGTTGTGGAGGTGTGGGGATGGGGTGTGAGTGGGTATGAATTTGAGTGTGAGTGTCGGTATGAGTGGGTGGTGCGGGTGTGCATGTTTATCTTTTTGTCACCCACATCCACATCCACACTAACATCCTTTTCTGCAAAAGTGAATTCTGTGATTTTCGATAGTCTTTCTTGACTGATATTGTTAATTACAAAACATTTTCGCTGGTGTTAAAATAAGAGGTTTTATATATTGAGAGAGAGGAACCCACGAGTGTACATATATAGAGTGGCCCATAAGTAACGCGACAAAGTATTTTTAAGATTTCTCCTCTGTTATCTCTATGATTAAAACACTTTTAATATCAAAAGATAGCGCTTAAAATTCTCTACAAAACCATACATGACTAAGCTCAAAAACTGTTTTAAATATGTTTGAAAAAAGATGAAGAGTAAAGGCATAGTTAAAGATGCAGACAGGAACGGGTTGAGTATAATGAATGGGCGCGCTTAGCGTTCCATTTTTTAATCACTCCAATCTATTAAAAAACAAAAGATGCAACATGAGAAGCGCTACAATTTACATGAGACAGCTTATTTTATAGTTTCATTTTTTGTTTTCAAAATGGGCAACATTTTCAGCGATGAAATTTCGGCCATGAGAAAATGATATATTTTTTGGTACATGACAATTTCATTTTTTCTAATTTCATCCTGCTATTACCTGATATGTGTTATTTAAAAAGATAAAATGCACCACAAGATGCCGTGTGAAAAGCTCTACAATTTAAGAAGAAAAATTATAAAAAGATGAAATAAAAAAGAATCAATCCATCTTGTACCAAAAAAGTATACTGTTTCCGAACGGTCGAAATTATCTTCACTCAAAGTTTTGTTCATTTTGAAAACAAAAAGTGCAACTATAAAATAAGGGAGCTTATGTAAATTGTAGAGCTTTTCATGATGCATCTTTAGGTATCTTTTGTTTTCTTAATAGAGCGAAGTGATTGATAAAAAAAATGGGATGCAAAGCGTGGTCATTCATTATGCTCAACCCGCTACATTTTACAACTTTGTGTATGTCTTTACTTTTCATCTTTTTTCAAATATATTTAAAACAGTTTTTGGGCTTAGTCATATACGGTTTTGGAGAGAATTTCAAGCGCTATCTTTTGATAATAAAAGTGTTTTAATCACAGAGATAATAGAAGAGAAATCTTACAAACACTTTGTCCCATTACTTATGGGTCACCCTGTATGGATAAAAATAGGAAAGAAATCGGTTACGTTACAACAAAACCTGATTATATCGGTTCGAAAGATGATGTTACCGGAGTTTTTCATGTCACCAGATCCTAGCAGTTGCGAAAATATCAGTTGATATAATTCAATAGGAGTCGATTGGGTATTTTTCTGATGTAAACAGATCCACAAACGGTTAATTGGAAAACCGTTAAAGTTTAGTTCGTTTCTTATGGGCTTCTATATGGAGTTTGCCTGATTTCGAACGAATCCGATGGAGAATACTTCCTATTCCCAAAATTTACACATTCCTGCATCGCCTTCTGACATGCAATCCCTTACCATCAATTCCGGAAAAGCAAAAACGACCCTTTCCCTCAAAAAAATGCAACAACCCGGAATTCCGGAATTTCTGCATATGCGGAATCACTACGACACGCAGGAATTCTGGGTCATTNNGAGGAATCCGAATATGGTATTGGGATTTGCTTTGGACCTCGGTTAGGTGAAATTAGCTGGATAATACAGAAATGTTTATTTTTGTAAAAATTCATGTTTTGAAATTTTCTGGTTTTTAGGACTTCCAGTATTTCAAGCTTACGGTATATAGAGAAATTATTTGGACACTTGCAATGCTTATGTCGCAAAACAAATTTTAACATAAAGGAACTTATTTCATTTTCAATTCGATCATTTTATAGCTCGAAATGTTTCCTATCATCCACATCAAAATCAAACTTTTCTTCCAAATTTTTCTTGGGTTTCGAAAAGTTTTTCTAAAAGTTTGTTTGCCATATAAGTGTCATACGTGTTCAAATAATTTTTTAGATACTGTGTCTCCCCCGAAAATAGAAGTGTTTTGAACAAAGAATTTGCCCAAAGTACTTAGAATTAGAAGCTCTACAAATCCTGAACGTTTCATCAAAATCGGAGAATTTTGTTGCACACCGTGGGAGAGACTCCATGGAAATATTCGATATGATTTCCTCCTTTCGGCTTGTGACCATGAGAGTAGAGTCAGCTGACGTGATTGAGTGCATGACTGTAGGTATAGAAGCAGTACAGGGACTATTTGCGTATTACTAATGGTAAAAGGAAGTGCGATCATGACTAATCAATTATCGGCATTGTAAGTGCGCAATAAATTCGTTTGCCTCTCTTGTCTCAGTCCTTAAAAGAGAAGCATATAAATAGCATATAAGCTCAGAAGCAAAAAAAGTACTTATTTGCTCCTTGTATCTATTTACTTTCTTATCAATGAAATTGAATGTCAAGGCATACTTGTAAAGATAATCTCAAATCTTCGTCTTTTTTGTCATCGATTAATGATTTGACGTCTGACATGAACGAAACGATATGCTTTTCTTTATATTGATGAAATTCGTCCGAATATGAAATACTCATAATAGTCAACACGAAAAAAGACGCGAGTGAGAGTGAAATTAAGAGAGAGAAGAGAACAAAATGCGAACACGCCATCCGGATACAAACACGAGAGAATCTAACCCTTAGAGTAGCGAGAGTGAGTGCGAAACAGAGCAGCAAAAAGAACGAGAACAGAAGTAAGAACACATAGATGGACGGCACTCCATCACACCAAAGGAAATCTAGAATTAAGAGAGGAATGAGGTTCTAACAATATAACTTTTAAAACACCTATCGATTACTTTTTCTCGCAGAATTATCAGGATTGTTTCTAGCAGAATACTCATACTCTACAGGTGGTGTGGCTTTCTAGCAGTACTTCCTGAAAACACCGAAAAATATAGAAATGAAAAAAAAAGAAAGTTATATTGAATTTTTCTATCCGTATAGAAAACTATAGAATCTTCATTTTTCTTTGCTAAAACACCGTTTAGAATTATTCAGAAACACAAGAATATCACATACAGTCATCAGTCGTTTTCTTGTGCAAATCATAGCGGGTGTGGGTGTGGGTTTGTGAGCGTGGGTTTGTGGGTGTGTGGCTAGGGATGTGCAGTTTCGGTGAAAACAGTGAATTACTGGCAGGGATGCCACTGCACTGAGCGCACTGACTGCAATGACTCACTGACACTGGTGTTCACTGAATCAGTGGATACGCCGACATGGTGTTCACGGAATCAGTGCATACACTGACACTGATTGCACTGGTTCTACTGTCTGCACCGACATTGGTGTTCACTGAGCCAGTGCATACACTGACACTGACTGCACTGATGTCAGGGTTTACTGGAACAGTGGTGCTCACTGAAGTATCAAGTCACCGACTCTATCAAAGTATGCACTGCTCGTGACTTTATTTATAATTATCAACGGAATTAGCGTAATGACCATACCTATTCCTCCAAAAAAGAGGATTCATTTAAGTAATCTATAATTTTGAATAATAAAGTCGATTTCAAAGAAATACGCCACTTATAATCCTAATATTGACACATAAGTACGGTATTTTATGACTCAACCAGATTCATTTAAAGAAGATGAGTGTTTCTTAAAATTTATATGGACTTTGTAAAACTATTTGTATCGTTACGATTACTTGAATTCTTCGCTTTATTTACTCTTAGTGATGTTGTGCAACCCGAATACACTGAAAAAATGGTTCCATTCGAT